AAGAGTGAAGAAACAACAAGAGAAAGAAACTCAGCCACGAAGCCATACACACTTGTCAGAATTAATTAACACTATAATAAGTGTTTATGGCTATTTAGTCTAACGACATTTAGTTTTAATTTCGTTAAAAAGATTCTCGAGTTCATATTTTAAGAAGATTAAGGATTATTTAGTTATCGTTTTTGTTCTCATTCTGAATTCAAATCTCATATACGACCATATTATGTAACTAATAAAAATATTGCATATGTCATCTTGTACATCATTCACCTACAAAAGTTTAGAAGAAAGATTTTTGCTGTCGAACATTATTGACACACACTTGGCTCTCCGAAGAGTTTGTAGTTGGTCCACGAGAACACCCCCCAACCCCCTAAACCAAAAAAATCCAAATAATAAATAGCTGCTTCTATATCATAAAGTAGCCTTTGGTCCATTTCATTTTTATTGGGTGTAAGTCAAACTTCGCACCAGAATTGAAAGCGAAATATTAGAAGAGAAAAAGAGGTTATTAATTGCCACTTAAAAATGATATTATAAGGGCATATCTTACCGATGTGTTAAATATGTAACATAGACATTTAATCTCATATAACTCAAACCGATGTGTCAAAGCTGATGTGGAATGAAGACTGGAGGTTGAGATGTTATTTTTGACATCCCAAAAGCAAGATGTCAAATGAATATTTTATTATTTTTTCTTTTCTTTTATTTTTAACTAAAAATGAATCAACCCTAAAATGTAATAAAATAATAATTTAATTTGACATATCAGGTGGAGTGTAAAGAGAGCATCTCCAATGGAGATGTCAAATATCAAACATTAAATTTAAATTTGATGGCTGATGTGGCAATTTGATATCTTTTACACTTCACCCGATATGTCAAATTAAATTATTATTTTATTACATTTTAGTGTTGATTTATTTTTAATTAAAAATAAAATAAAATAATAAAATAATAAAATATTCATTTGACATCTTGCTTTTGGGATGTCAAAAATAACATCTCAACCTTCAACCTTCATTCCACATTAGCTTTGACACATCGGTTGGAGTGATGTGAGATGTTATTTCTAGCCGTTAAATGTCTATGTGGCACTTTTGACATATCGGTTGGAGATGCTCTAAGATGTCAAATTGTCACATCAATCATCAAATTTAAATTTGATGTTTGGTATTTGACATCTCCCTTGGAGATGCTCTAAAACTAAAAATTGATGTAGAGATTAATTCAACTACAACTTCGTTAATAAGAGAAATTAAATAAATAAATAAAGGGAATCTTAGGCCAACACGAGTTGATTCAATTAATAAGAGCATATCCAACTGATGTGTCAAAAGTGCCGCATAGATATTTAACAGTTAGATTTAATGGCTAGAAATAACATCTCATATCACTCCAACCGATGTGTCAAAGCTGATGTGGAATGAATGTTGGAGGTTGAGATGTTATTTTTGACATCCCAAAAGCAAGATGTCAAATGAATTTTTTTTTTTTTTGTATTTTTAATTAAAAATAAATCAACACTAAAATGTAATAAAAATAATAATGTAATTTGACATATCGGGTAGAGTGTAAAGCCATGTAAGATGTCAAATTGCTACATCAACCATCAAATTTAAATTTGATGTTTGGTATTTGACATATCCCTTGGAGATGCTCTAAGATCCTTGTACTTTGTGTGTATTTGAGTTTCGTTGCCAGCAGTTTCGTGTTGGTGGGTACTTTATAAATCCAAAAAGAATCTGGAATTTGCCCTAACCCTAGGTTGGGAAGGTTAGCCTCTCCCTCCCCTAAACTTTTGCTCATAAAAAATATAAAGGGAACCCTAGAACTTTTGATTTTTTTTTCTTTTTCTAACAATAGGTCATCATTGCGGTGCTATCATTTCTCATTGCATGCACCAATAGATACGTGCTCCATAATTATGTGTGAACATTATGCTTTTATGCCTTTTTTTTATTTATGAATTATCTTCGATCGTACGTGTTAAAAATATGGTACCATTAATTGATAGTATGAATTATAAGGGAGAGAGATTTTTCACATACACAACCAATATGTCATGGGGGCTTAAACTTGAGACTTTGATCTACAAATCAATGCATTTTTCTATTGGGCTAGACCTTGACATCATTAGGGTAAATGTAAGTTGCACAACACACTATATAGCTATGGTTAACACATCCAAAAATTAGTGGAGCTGTCGGCAGCCAACATTAATAGAGGAATTAATTTTTGTCAACATTTTTGGTTCTAAACAGAAATGAGTATTATGGGGTTTAAATAGAGAGAGAGAGAGAGAGAGAGAGAGAGAGAAAAAAAAATCCCTTCCCTTTCTTTTGGTTTGGTTAGATTTGGGTTAGTTATGCCAAGCCCAATATAAGTGGCGTCACAGCTTTCCTATGGCCTGGCCCGGCATCGCATGAGGACTCTATGAATGCGATGGGCCCCAACAAGAGTTTTGATTTCGGTAGATTTCCGGGCCTGTATTTATCAGCACGTGTGTTGTTACATGAATTATGGGAAATATTAAATTTATTAAACAGTTTAACTTACAAAATTTATTTATTTTTATGGAAAGGGAATTTACACTCATACCACGTACGCATTGTTGTAATTTTCCACTTGAAAACAAAAGGTTGAGTTAATTTTCTACCTTAATTAAAATTTCCTGGGATTTTAAGGACAAATCCTTTCATGCTTTTTTAATTGGGATGTTGTTAGTAATTAGCTTGGGTCTCTTATGGAAACAAAAAAACAAAAAAAATATGTCAGTATGTGACATATGGTTAGTTCTGTCGATTTTACCGTCTAAAAAGTGATGTGTGAGTCACATGTGACTCTTGAAAAATAGTGTGCCACGACATCTTGAACATCGAACATACTCTTCAAGAAGGAACATGTGGTGTGATACACACAATTTTGAAGATGAAAAAATAGATTGCATTATGTTATGAATGACACATTGCAATAAGGTTTTGAATGAAGTGGCAAATGCATTGACAGATCTAGCCATGTTTTGGGTAGGAACGAAAATTGTCTGAAAATAAAAATAGATAGATATGAAGCAATAAGACCAAGGAAAAGAGAAAGGGAAGAAGAAAAGAGAGAGAGAATCAACAGAGAAGGAAGGGACAAAAGTGACTGGAAGTCACGTGATTAGATATGAGTGGTATTGGATTTTATAATTATTTTATATTGGGTAAAATTGTTTGGACACCCAACTTTTTTGTACACTCTTGCCCAATTTCTTGTATACTAGAGTCTATATTTTTTTAGCAATAGATGCTAATTGTTTTTACATGTATTAATTATTATTATTATTTTTTTAATCAAAATGCATTTGATTTTTTTTTTTCCTTATTTGATGGATGATGAATGCAATATCAATTTTGTTATTTATATTATTTTAATCATCGTGTAAGTTCCGCCTACTCGAATCCGCCATTGGGCAAATGAGTTCAAAGTTGGTTTTTATTTTTGTTTTTTCAATTGTAACAACGCCTATAATCACAGTGGTGTTAGTGTAATTTGGTTGATTATTCCCACGAAGGAAGAAACGAAGTTATTGTGAAGCATCGGTCTAAAAGTGTAAAGCGCGGGGCTGGGTTTGTTCTCTCTACTTTCATTTTCAAACCAAAACAAAATACCTCGGATTCGCGAACTAAAAAAGTACACATAAACAAAGCATTACTCGTTATCAAACCAAACCAAACCAAACCAGGCAAAGCAAACCCCCCCAAACTTCACTGTCTGCCTCTGGAATCGTGCTATGGAAGCCCATTCTTCTCTCACCCTCCCTTCTCTTAAAACCCACAAAAACGCCACTTTTTTCTTCTTTCTCTTCTTCATAGAAACCACATTTCCCCTCTCTCTTTGTTCTACCAGAGACTAGGGTTTAAACATGTCTTCTGCTTCTCACTCCCAAACCCACCTTGGCCATGGCCTTCACCATAATATTCTACTGCACTCGTCTGAGACTTGCCTGGTTCAAAAAAGGTACCTTCTTTAGCTTTCTCTTTTAATCTCTCTGTTTATTGAGCTGAATGTTTGCTATAAAAGCCCATTTCCCTTTTTTTGGTTATTTTGTTAGGCCTTACAAGGTGATTGAGAAAATGCATGGTTTGTTGATAGTGGGCTGTTATGTTTTTGTCAATTTATAAATTTAGTGATCAGATTTCATTAGACATACATTGTAGGGTTCTTTGATACAGACAGAAGAATAGTCTTTTAATTTTTTTTTCTTCTTATGTTCAAATTTCACTCCTCATTTTTCTAGCTTCATATGACAATGCTGATTTTCACTTTCCCCTCTACACTGGTATTCAGTTTAGTTCAGCTCATTTTGTTCCCTCGAAATTGTGAGTTTTTAGGAATTTAAGAGATAAAGATCATGTGGGATCATGTGGGCTTCTTTTAATTGCATCAACCTCCTTTAGGATACACCCTTTTCCCTTAGGAATTCAATACAATCCTAAAATTAGGTGAGAAACTTTGACCATTGAGGTAATTAGTTTAGAGGAAGAGAGACAGATGTGTCTCCAAAGTCATACTCTCCCATGTGTTATAGTATTCTAGATGGGGATGATATCACGAGGACGAGGAGAGAGAGGGAGA